TTTAATGAAAAACTGTGTGAGTGGCACTCTGTGGCACGGCAGGATTTCTGTCGGCTGAATGAACATATCAGTGTGCTTTCTCATGTCACAGCTTTAAATCTGCAGCTTCGCTGGCTAACAAATGCATTAATGTTACCAGCTGGATATAAACTAATTCAAATAGATGGTAACAATCGTGACATTAAACATTTGGGTCTGACTTGCGTTTGTTTTGGTCACATTGTTTTAACTGCTTGAGGTAATACTAATGTTTGCGTCCTTGAAAGCTACCAGCTGCTCCAGCAACGGATGCAACCCGGAAAAACTATCGGCATGGATTTTTTTCTGATAGCCGATAGTTCTGGCAATCAACTATCAGTGCAACTATCGGTCGACGTCTAATTCTAACATGTGGAGAATAGTATTAGTAAAGTTGTCAAACTGATAAAAATAACACTAAAGTTAATATAGGAATTATACTTTAAAAGTTAAACAAAATCTTGTAGAAGATATCTCATATTTAAAATGTTTCAAAGTTGCCACCTTTTGTGAAAACTTCGGCTTTCCTGTCAGCACCTTTTGCCTTTAATGTGTGGCTGTAGTTTGTTTCATGAAAACAGTCATCACTAAAAGTGTTTGTTGTGATGGAAACCCTGCAGAGTCAGTCTGATTTCTGTAAGTACTCCACCCCACTGTGAGTTTAATCTGGCTGGATTATCTCTGATTTATTATCTCCGTAACGTTGGTCTGCCTGCCTGGTCCTGTGTGAGGTGATTTAGTGAGAACGGAAGTCTGCTTCAGTGAGCCCATGAGAAAATAGTTGGACGAGTCACTGCCAGTAAAACACATGAGCAGAATGCCACCAGCATCCTGTACTATCCTCATTAAGTGAGTCCACCTACGATAGGGAAGACCTGGCAGAAAAAAGTTATTGCTGTTATTGTATATTTGTGACAAAATACAATATAACCCATTTATAATCAGTGATGCTTTCTACACTGGATGCGGCACGGAGCGACACGACACGACAAATCCACAACAGTAAACTGATGCCTCATTCTATTTATGAAGTACACAAAGTACAAATGATTTGCAATGGTCGCTTTGTTGCGTCTAGTATAGACAGTATAGACATTACTCCAGTCTTCAGTGTCACATGATCCTTCAGAAATATATTTATGTATCCTATGAATAAAAATCTTATATAAATAGGATAAAAATTGTTATTTAAATGACTAAGTAGGACAAATAGCCAAATTTTGTTGTAAAAAAAAAATATCACAGTCCTTACAAAACATATATTTAACAATAAATATTGAATAAAAAAATTAATACAGACATATTTACTAAGCTACTAGTCAACCCATAACTGTTAGCCTTTTAGCTGTACAAGAGGAAACCTCACATAAAAGGATCCTTTGTTTCTGTCCTCTCAGTCAGCCCAGGGTAATGTAATAATAATAATATCCTGTCACTGGGTTGTTCTATCTCTGCAGAGACACCAGGAGGCCCTGTTGTAAAAATAACAAATAACCAATTTCACATGGATGGCCTGCTGTTTTCAAAGGGCCACATTCTGTCACAATGTGACAAACTACACACTGATTTTACACCAGAATCCAAAGTCCAGGGATTTTCCTGTTCTTTCACACTGTCTTTGTTCTGCACTCGTTTTGTAACTGATCCTTTCTCTTGCTCATTTATGTGTGTGTGTGTGTGTGTTAGATCTGCAGCCGGTAACATATTGTGAATCTGCATTTTGGTGCTCGATTTCCTACTACGAGCTGAATCAGCGTGTGGGCGAGACTTTCCACGCCTCGCAACCGTCTCTGACCGTAGATGGCTTTACGGACCCCTCTAACGCAGAGCGCTTCTGCCTGGGCCTGCTGTCCAATGTCAACCGCAATGCAGCTGTGGAGCTGACGCGCAGACACATCGGTACATTCAGCTCACAATTATAAAAAATGTACTGGGCAGTATTGGAATCAGACATTCTGAAATGAACTGAATCTGTTTAACCTCATAACCTTTCCTCAGGCCGAGGTGTGCGTTTGTATTACATCGGCGGTGAGGTGTTTGCTGAGTGTCTGAGCGACAGTGCTATTTTCGTTCAGAGTCCGAACTGTAACCAGCGCTATGGCTGGCACCCCGCCACAGTATGTAAGATTCCTCCAGGTGAGTCAGCCCGTTTGTATACTGATTGGATGAATGTGCAACTGTGTATATATATCCTATGAGTCACTCAAGCATGTACTAGTGTCAGACTTCCTCATTCTGTTTCATAGAAGCACTCAAGCATATATATGTGACTGTGTCTCAGGCTGTAATCTGAAGATCTTCAATAATCAGGAGTTTGCAGCTCTGTTGGCCCAATCAGTGAATCAGGGATTTGAGGCTGTTTATCAGCTAACCCGTATGTGCACCATTCGCATGAGTTTCGTCAAAGGCTGGGGGGCAGAATACAGGTAAGCCAAGACACTCATCAGAGAACCTGCTTAGAGATTTTCTAAATCTGTTCTTCATAACTGCATCACTTTCAAAAGTGCTTTATAGTCGTAGATGCTGAGTATTAAAAACAAAAGCACAAATGGCATTTAATCACTTTATTTCTGTGACAGTAACACACAAAAAGCTAATGGCTGCCCTTTATTATGTAAAACGGATATTCCTGGCTGGTCTGTAGTTAGTTAAATATGCTGGGCAGGCATGGAAGCACATTAGTGACCCAGATTCTCCTTCCTGCAGGCGGCAGACAGTGACCAGCACCCCCTGCTGGATAGAGCTGCATCTCAATGGCCCCCTGCAGTGGCTGGACAAGGTGCTTACTCAGATGGGCTCTCCGAACCTCCGCTGTTCCAGTGTGTCATAGGACAAACCCTCAGCCCGTTTCATGTAACCATACCCTTCTAATGACATCGTCTATTGCTGCTGAATGCCAAGCAAACAAACAGAGCAAAACCAAGGACGGGGGAGACAAACACCTGCTGGACTCCTCAGAGTGTCACTTTATCATTTACAGATCCTAATATTTTGCTGTGGGCAAAAATAGGCACGTACAGTTGAAGCACTTTGAACAATGACACTCAAGGAGTGTGGATGATATTTCCACAGTGTGAGGAGTTTAAAATGAGGCATTTTCCTCATTGTGAATTTAAATGTGATAATGAAATTATGATTTTGTCAGTTTTTTGTTTTGATCAAGAAGTGTATCACGCATTTAATTTGATCTGAAGGTATTAGAATCCTGGGCTCGGAATATGATTGCTTAAAATCATAAACATCCTCATAGGGGGCCTCAAAGAGTGCTTTGTTTCCACCACCTTCAGTGAAGGGCTCTTGTGTGAACTTTTACAGTATGTTAGCTTGAAGCTAGAGCTTCAGGAAGCTGTTTGTGTAGTTGTGCTCAAGTAAATTGCACTGCACAGGTCAATATACAATGTGATTGCGATTGCCGTTGGTCTCATGCACGGTCGACCAGGTTTGTATACTTCTGACAGGAACTGAGGTACTTAGCCTTGATTATGAAAAGCACTTGTTTTTACAACCCAGTGATGGTGTGAACAACAAAATAGCATTGGAAATTTGTCAGTGACATGCTAGTAGCTAATAGTGACATTTTATTTCTTGAACTTGATGGATACTGTTTGAATTTTGCTCAGCAAAGACATTTTTGTATAAAGTATTTTTGCATTATAAACGGAAGGGAAATTGCTAAAGTATATTTTTACTGCTGCCCTAGGGTATTGTAATTAAGATCACTGTCATGTTACACATAGATATAAAACAAACAAACAAACAAAAAATGGTCCAGGGCTTTTGAAACAAAATTTAAAAGATAAAGATTTCTACAGAATTTTGACTGTTGTCAGTAATGTAGTGATGTTATATAGCATCAGACTTTCACCTGATTGCACAGACTCCTATCGAAATGACTGGATTTTGCCTGTATAAATTCACAGAACCATTAATGTGACCACACCTTTAGTCATCAATTTTTTAATTTCAGCTATCGCATGATTTCATTGTCCTTTCGTTGAATCTGTTCGGTGTATGATTGGCGCATCAAAGGGATGTCTCCAACTCAGGATTGTCAATCCATTCAACTGATTTTTGAGCTCAAAACTCATGTAACAACTAACAGCATTTCATATCTCTACATACTACTCTATTTTACTGTCAGTGATTTCTGAGTGGGTAAAAAATTGCCACTATTTTGAGTTTTTATTTTTTTTACTGAAAAATGGAGAGCAAGTACTGCTGGCAGCTCTTGGAACGCTTGTATTTTTATGTAAAAATCGATTTCACAAGAGGATAGTATAAATGGCTAGATTTTTATGTGGACCCTTTGCTCATCGGGTTATTCAATTTCCTTGATTTGTTAGTACTGACATTTAACAACTCAATGCATGGTCTGGGTTTTAACAGCATAAATCAGCAATCCATTTTTATTGGGTGATGTCTGATCTCAAGGAAGAAGCTCTGAATCACTGATCATGAAGATCCTGACAATCTTTGCTCGTTTTTCGAAAATCAAATTGATGTTTCATTGAACAACTTACGCTTGTGTTTGATTCCCCCAAGCTGATTTTTGCTATGAATCTTGCCGGCTCTTCATCTGTTACTCAACAGGGCCAAAGCACACAGTGGACTATTGATATTATTTAAATTTGTCCTTTTTGCTGGAATATTGCTTGTATCCTGTTTATTTTCTTGCACTCTTGATTTGGAAGCAAATTAAATATTCTTTGTCTTATAGTGTCAGTAATTTCATTCATATTCTGAAACTGGTGCTTAGTTCTTGTTTGCCCTGAATGTCCCTTTTGCTTTTCTGTAACGTACACTCACATTTACTTCTCTTGCATTCACTGTCATATTGACTTTTGTTACGTAAGTTTTAATAATAAAATCTTTTAAGAGCATCGTTTCATACTTTTTCTTATAGTATGTAAAGGATAATTTCATCATGTCAAATGAATTTGACAACATATTTCCAAAACAAAAGAACATCAAAAAATGATTCGACAGATCCTTCTTTTAATTGATGAAGAGCTAATGACATGCACAAGCATAGTCCGTAATTGTGACTTACATCATAAAAATAAAGGAGAAATAAAAGTTTAAAAACAATCCACTTTTACCAGCTCATCTCATTTGATTTACGACTCTTTTTGACAGAACCATAGGCTTCATCCTTGTATGTGGCTGCACACTTGCACCACCAGAGAACAGACAAGATAATCTTGCCCCCTGCAACACATCCCATGGCTCTTGAGATTACAATGTTTGAAGCCAAAAGCCCATAATGACTGTACTGCCTGATTGAGGTGTTGGGACACTGATATATAATAATAACAGCAGTATCATGAAAATCTCCATTGCTGTTTTTGCCCACATTCTTCCACGTTTCTTGGGTGGGACAGGACTGGGCTGGGCAGATTTGGGATGACTGGGGGTTTAAAGGATGGGCTGAGTATCAACAGTGGAAGCTGGTTAAGAGTCACTAGGGCCTTAACTCTCCTCCCCTGATGACAAGCCGTCAAGCTCATCCTGGTCTCCACCAATAGCCATCCAGAATGCTTTAGCAACCTGATTAAGGGTAATTCAATTGGTAGTGCAAATATTAGATTGAAAAATATTACCATTAGTGTTAATGAGAAAATATTAAAGGTATATCACCTTTTCTGCATGTACTTTCCTCTGTTCATGTGGCAACGAAGAGGCCTTGTCTACAAATAAAAAGAGTTTTAAAAATATACTGAATATAGGAATATACTGTACTATTTGTAAAAAAACACAAACAAGGCTTCACTTAAATTAGTCAGTTCAGAGTTTACATGATACAAGATACATGAAATAAAATGTATCCAAAAGATTTCCAAAAAATATTAAGCAGCACAACTTTTAACATTAATAATAATTTATACTGTAAAAATATTTCACAATATAACTGTTTTACTGTATTTTTTATCAAATAAATGCAACCTTGGCAAACATTAGAGTCTTTTCAAAGACATTAAAAATGTTTTTTTTTTTTATTGATATATAGGTCTTATACCTTTCATCTCTTTCAATTTTGTAAAGAGTCGTTCAAAATTCTCCACATCTGCATCTCCAGCTGTTAGATTAGCCAACTCTTGTATGTCGATGTCAATCATGGGATCTGTGACAGATTAGCAAATATTTAATTAAACACTGAACTTTAGAAGTACCTTCAAAAATGTATCAAAAAATAGCTTGTCCCACTACACTTTGTGATAATATCCTATTTTATCATATCATTAATTTACCTCCAAAATGAGTATAAATATATTGCCCTTAAAAAAAGCACTTACCGACTGCTGTATCTACTGCATTATTCTGGTTATTCTCTGCTCTCTGGTTCTCAGTGCCTTCATCTGTACTGTTGGATGGGGAATGAGAAGACTAATAACCAGAAAAGAATTGTCTGTTACAACGAGATGAGCTTAAGACTCTAAACTACTGTAAATAATGTTCAACTGCATACATTAAAGAGCAGCACAATTAGAAAAGGCTAACCAGTGTCTCTTGACAGGTTCGTGGGTTGTTGTGATGAGAGGCCACCAGGCTGCTCATTAGCCCAAATCCCTGACTGTGTTCTGAGAAGAATAAATGATAATTAAAGGGAAAGTTAATAAACATAGCTTAGAATGAAGCTGTGAATATGATTTGTTGTGTGGATGCCATTGTACATTTCGCATTAGGGCAGTACAATCTCACCATCTTTCATCTCAACGCTGGACCACACGTTGGCATTGAGGGCCTGAACGATTCTTTTTACTCCAGTGGACTCTGGGAAGTCATCTATGGGGTACACAAAATAAACAAAAGACTTTCAAAACAAAATGATTCATGTGTGTGCATAACTGCGACTAGACTTTGTTTTCTCTCTCACCATCTTCATCAGGTAGATCTTGAGGGTTGAGCTCTACTAATTCAAATGCGTGAGCCAGACACCACTGCTGGGCCTCCTGTTTGCTAACACCTACAACGGCATATTTACACCAAACTTAGCAAAAAACTGCATGTGTTGCACCCAAACCACTGAAAAAGTAGTACCAAACACACACTCACCACTGTCACACGCATGGTCACACACTAGTATCAGCACTTCTGGAGCCAAATCCTCCACTACTGATAACCAAGAGTTGACACTGTTAAGGCTGTCTTTCTGAAATACGAAAAGAGTTTAATCAAGGCACAAACACTGAATGGTGAATTTGTAAAATGATCATAATTATCATAAACTCACAGTTTTGCTGTCAAAGTAAACGATGAACGCTTGCATAGACCGGGCAACCTCTGTATTCATGTCGAATGGACTTGAAACAACACATAAGCTGACGTTTGCTGTGTAGTACTTGTTATTGATTGTCCATGGATACCAAGAAACTCTTTCCTCCATTTTGGAAGCTTGAGGTAGTGATTCTAAGCCCAAGATCTCTGAAATAAAACACACAAAACTGTTAAAGGCCAAGTGTGTATCTGATATCAATAAAAACACTGGCAGTGACAGCAACCTCTAAAATAAACCATAAACAAAATTAACTGAAGCTCAACACTGCCGCCTGCTGGACACAAAGAATCACTAGATATAAAGAATTACTACTTTTTTATGCATGAGGATTAAAAATGGATGTACCAAATGTGTCAGGCTATATATTGCACACTTATTATGTACTGTATCCCTGCATCAATAAAATATGTAAAAATAACAGCACCAGTAATGATTCACATTTATTGTCCAGCTGGATCAAGTTTTATCAATAATTTAAGATTGCTGCGATCAGAAAACCAACATAAGAGACAAACGTGTAAAGAAAGCACTTTAAGCACTATTACGAAACACTGCATGTTACATGAAATGAGCAAAAAGCCAGATTAAGATTCATAAGATGACAGTCTGGCAATCTCTACAAAAAATATTGATTTTATCGATGCACAATACAGTAATGCACAATATATGTTATGCATTTAATAATTAAACCGTTATTCCGATGGACACATTTTGATCTGTAAATAGGAGACAGCACGATGAATGTTTCTTGTTGACAGCTAACGTTAGCATAGCAGCAAGGCTAACGGGTGTAGAATAGATTTCCCCCTTTTACTCACGTCTAATGAGCTCCTCTTCTTTAAAGCCGGGATCACAGCTTGTGACTAAGATACAAGGTAGGGTAGGTACTTCATCTGCTTGATCATCTGCCATTTTAAGCTTTTGGACACTTAAAAACAGCTCTTAATGAAAGTTAGCACGTTAGCAACAGCTGTCACCCACCTCCAGGAACCTTTCACCTCTAACCTCAACTTACTTCCGTGTCTGCGCGCGCGTGTGTTAGAAAATCTAAAGTTTAAGAGTAAAACAGCTTTTTAGTGAATAGCGCAACTCAGTCAGTGATACACCCTGATTATTAATGAAATGGTAATAATAACAAATAATACTGGCCTGACTGACGGCGACTGTACTGCCATACGCGTCGTGTTGCCATAGTTACGGCCAGACCTTTGTTTAGAAAACATAAAAGACTTGGAAGCGAGAAAACGCAATTAGAAAAAAAGCTTAAATGTAATCTGAATTATTTAGTAGAAAAATGTCCAACGTCCTTAAAAATAAGGATGACGTTGGGCATATTTTAGTACAGGTAATGTGCTCAAGTACAAAATAATATAAAAGAAGGCTTGACAGCTGTTTTAAGTTTTAATTAAGTTACTTTTAAACTATACTAGTTACATTATATAATTTAATATTATATAATTACGTTTGTAAAACTATATTCTTGTGATTTTTATTGTGTCTTAGGTGCAGGATGATTTAAGACAATTAAAAAATAATCTTGTTCGACTGACTGTGCAAGAGAATGGGGAAGTTTTGGACATTCAAGTTTGGATGCAGCCATCAGCAGGACAGAAAATGTTATAAGGGTAAGTTATATAAAGTCAACTTTATGACAAAACTGACGAATATTTCTGTATAGTTGAGGTCTGCATTACCTAAATTATCTAATTTATCTATAAGCAGTGGGGAGTTTAAAAAACTGCTAAATAAATCATCTATCATTTAAGAATGATGCTTGTAAACATTTGTTTCTTGATTCACAGAGTCATGCAGACGATTATCTGAAAACTATTATTAATCAGTTTTTGACTCTACCCTGTATTGAAGAGCCTGAAAAGAAGCCTGCCCCTGTCAAAATTGTAAAATGGTATTTAAAAAGAAACTCTGATACTTATATCAATAAGCAAATAACCTCTACAACATCCGTAGGATTTCCATTAGAGCATATGTAAAATCATATTAAATCTAAAATATTTTCCTAACATTTTTGTATACAGCTACCATATGAGACAATACCAAATACACGTCCTCTGAGATGCCAGATTCCTGGTCCATCACCAGGAGAAAAGGTGACACTTTACACTTATTTGTTAAAGGGGTCATATGATGTTGCTAAAAATAAAATTATTTGGTGTATTTGGTGTAATGAAATGTGTTTATGCCGTTTAAGGTTAAAAAAACATTCAGACACAATCTTTAAGAATGTGTAGTGGAGCTTTCAGATCTTCTCCGATATCAGCCATACAAGTGGAGGTGGGAGAAATGCCTATAAGTTTACGAAAATTGAAATTAACTATGAATTATTGGATAAATGTAAAAGGGCATTCAGAATTACATCCAGTAAAGGACATATTGAAGGATTGCTGGGAATATGGGAAAAATAAAATCAAAAGTTTTGGTTGGACAGCAATTAGAGATGCTACGATTTTGGGTATTACAGAAATCTCAGTTAGTCTACAATATATGGTTAAGAATGAGAAAACGTTATCTAAGGAGGTTGTTGTTCAACAATATCTAGATCAAAATTACTCTTCAATGCTCCATATCTTCACAGATGGTTCTAAAGATCCTACATCAGGAAAGTCAGCTGCAGCTGTATATATCCAAAGATTACAAGTCAACATTCATATTCCTCCTTGGTTGCTTCCTATGCCTCAAATAGATTTTCATCTACAATATATGGTTAAGAATGAGAAAAAGATATCTAAGGAGGTTGTTGTTCAACAATATCTAGATCAAAATTACTCTTCAATGCTCCATATCTTTACAGATGGTTCTAAAGATCCTACATCAGGAAAGTATATCCAAAGATTACAAGTCAACGTTCAGAAAAGGATAACTAATTTTGTATCAGTCTTTACAACAGAGCTAATAGCAATTTTATTAGCTATTTATAAATCTGCTTAGGATTCAGGAAATTGGTATAGTCCTGAGGTTCTTATGGGTACCTGCACATGTAGGAGTACTAGGAAATGAAATAGTTGATAAACTGGCCAAACAAGCAATAAAACATATGAACGTTGAGGTACAAATTCCACTGAGTAAAGTAGAAATAAAAGGAAGAATTAAAGAACACATGAATAAAAAGTGGCAGGAAATGTGGGACAAGGATTTAAAGGGCAGACACCTATACAATATCCAAAAACAAGTTGGCAAAGGGAGAGTATGCTTTAACAATAGAAAAGAAGACATAATAATTACTCGACTTCGAATAGGACATTCTGGTTTAAATCATTCATTATTCACAACAGGGAAACATCAGTCAGGATTGTGTACTACATGCAGTGAAGCAGAGACTATTGAGCATGTAACGTTACTTCTACATTGTGCAGTATATACCAAAGAAAGAGAGGAGTTATTTAAGAAACTGAGAAACATAGGAGTAATTAATTTCACTATAAGTTGTGCCTTGAGGACAGACAAGTATTATGAGAGAAATTCTTAGTTATCTGAAGATAACAGGATTAGAATGTAGAATTTAAATTTCATAATAATACTACCGGGTGGTTTATTTATTTATGGAAATTTTTTTTTCTTTCCCAATTTCCCGTTAACGCTTCACACTCCAGTCCAGTTGGTGGCAGTAATACACCATAAGTTGGCTTGTGGACGGTGAGCTTGAGAACGGCGCGGCCGGCGGATTCGAGAAGGAGTGGTCGTCACACCACATGTGACGACCCAGGGCTGGACACCGCTTCGTCCACGGTGAAAGCCGATCCGGCGATCCACCGCGCGAAGTTGATGTATTTCCTCAGCGACCAGCACGGATCAGCTCCAGGCATGACGAAGCGGATATTGTCCTCTTTTGGAAGGCCAAACAAAGTAGTTTCGCTTTCACAACGAAACACAGTGTCTCCACGGCATGGCGGCGGCAACAATACTACAGCGAGAATAAAAGTTACGCCTTCTTTCTTTGCGTGAACATTTGGGCGGCATTATGCAAATCTTCCCACATAGTGACGTAGATATGTGGGGGTGTGTTAGAACGAGCCGTTTTAGGTAGGCGTGGTTGACTCTTAACTTTTATAAAGAATATCTCTTTGGATTTGAGACTTTAGTCTTTGCAACTTTACAGATCTTCTTTATGCACCAAGAGCTTGTAACACTTCAAAGAGAAAGGAAAAGTTGAAATCGCATCATATGACCCTTTTAAGACAAAAATGTCTGTTTTCTGTAATCTGTCTCTATCTCCCCAACAGCACAAGTCGGCATTTATCATGCGTCTGCTGAATAACCCCTTTCACCCAAAAAACTAATTATGGGATTCAGCTTCCTCACCTGCACAAGAGAACCGGGGTCAGTGTGAGTTGCTGAAAGATATGCTTCTATTATTATTCAAGAAGGTAAATTAAAGGGGCAGTTCACCCAAAAATGAAAATTCGGTCATCGTTTACTCACCGTCATGTTGTTCCAAACCTGTATGACTTTATTTGTTCTGCAAAACACAAAGAAAATATTTTGAAGAATTTTGGTAACCAAACAATTGTATGAGACATTTCTCAAAATATCTTCTGTTATGTTCCACAGAAGAAATAAAGTCATACAGGTTTGGAATGACATGAGGGTGAGTAAATAATGACAGAATTGTCTTTTTTTGTGTGAACTGTTTCTTTAACACTACAGTGTACTTGTTTTTTTGTTTTTGTTTTTTACACGTGTGGCTGGATTAGAATCCAGCAGCTTTTATGATAAAGGCTTATTGATAGTGTTGATTATATGGTGGCCAGCTCTGACTGTTGCCTTAACGCCAGCATCTGTCACATGAACCTCATGAAAAGAATGATGTGACTGGCATGTAATAATAGATGACTCCAGTCACTTCACTTTCAAATAGGAGATGCGGATTTGAAGGTCACCTGGTTTGGCAGTGACAGCTAAATCTGTCTGTTGGTAAACAAATTAATCTTTCTAAAGGTCACCATTTGTTTTGGTGCTCTGTTTCCCCCCCTTCTGCCTTCCGCTGCGGTTCTTCCTCTATCTCCTGCATCCTCTGCCTGTCACTCGTGAGGAGGCTGTCATGTTGTTGAGAAGAAGGTATGAGACTTGGCTGCCGAAAGCAGACACATGCAGATTGCGGCACATCAGCATTCTTCGGAGGACGGCCACCGCCTGATTGCAGTTGTATGGGCTGCTGCTTTACAGCTGTCTCAGGACAGGCACTGGTACCTGTTCCTGCATGCCAATAAGACAGCCGTGGCTTACCCAACTGACACTCGCTGGCGCTCTGCCTGCTGCGTCAATACCTCTGTGCTGTCGGCTAGTTCTCTGCTGAGTCTCTGAAGGAGCTCACCCTGTTTTTTTCTTTTAAATGTCCCCTTGTACCACTTAAACAGCTGCTTGCCTCCAAACCGCTCCAAACACCTGGCCGGTGCTTGTGGTTTGTCAGGGAGCTCAGTGGTGTGACAACAGACAGGCCAGAGAACATCAGGGGGAGAATCCGGAACAGCAGGATGAGGAGAGTACAGAAGGGCTCTGTCTGGCATGTGCCCACAACTTGACAAACTCGCAGTGTGCTCTCCATTATATGTTTTTCGGCACTGATGACCGATATTGTTCTTTGATGCTGTTTTGTGTGCTATAATTAATGCACGTTTTACTCGTTGCGTTTTTCCGCTCCAAAAATTTTTATCTTGTGATTTAGCCATCTTGCTTTTAATTGGCTATAAATTTTCTGTAGATAACATGTTTTTATTGGGCTTTTTGTCTTTTGAAGCATCTTTGGGAGTGACTTTCGGTGCTTGTTTTTATCAAAATGATTGTAAAAATTAATGATGAATTATATTAGTCGCAATATGACTACCACGAAAATCCTAATTATTGCAATACATCCTTTTTATTGTGGAATGTGGAGCACGACTTTCATTTGATTTATGAACTATTATATGATAATGAGGAGGTAAGCATTTTAGGCATTGCTCTGATGGAATTTAATTCTAGAAGATTTCAAGCAGCTGTTCACTTGAGAGAAGGTGCGAGACAAATAAACCGAGCCGTGCTCAAAGTATCCAGAAAGCATTGCCAGCATGTGATTGATTGCTTCAGGGAAGGGGGCTTATTGGCCAGTTTACAATGTCATTAACTGC